TGACGCTTATAGAAGAATCTCATCTGCACGTAGATTCTTCAGTTTGTGTGAATGGTAGTTACACTGAACAATGTTCCTCTAGATTCGTCAGATCACGACATCCGGTTATACATATTTAGGCTAATGTTCAATGGACGTGAAAAAAGAGCGAGTGATCGCTACGGTATCCACACGGGAACGTCGCAATTGAGTTGGCGATGCGACGACGATAATTGGTCGTTACGATGATTCTCTCTTCCGATAGAGGCAGTGTTCGATAGAAAAAAGACGTTCGATTCGATTTGATTCCCAAGGCGCGTGCTAATTCTATGCTTTGCGGCGAGGATTTTTTGCGCGTTAATTCGAATTAACAGAGATCGTTGTTCGTCGAGCGACTTTTGAGAAAGTTCGAACGTTGACAAATCGACGAACGTACCGCGAACGACGATACACGAGTCATTATATCGCCTCGTTTCTGTTTTTCTTAACTCATTTGCCGATCTTCCGTCGATCGCGCGCGTATATCCATCAAAGATCGAAATTATCGACGAATGTTCGTGCGATCGTTCACGCGAGCTCGCAGGTTCCCCCACGCACGGGAATCCTTTCAACGATACATACTTATGTACAACAATACGACGACATCAACTAACGAGCAACGACTTTTAGTTACCTTCTTTATTTTTTTATTTTTTTATTTTTTCGTTTTCTTAGACTTGTTTCGTTATTCCTTTTTTTTTTTTTCTCTCGCTTGATACATCGAAAAAGAGAACGAAAAGAACACAGTTCGGTTCGACGTTATCGATCATCCGGACTGCGATGATCGCGATGCGCCGCACCATTCAAACGCGTCACGCGTACGATAAACTTATCCATCTTTTCCTCACTCGTTTCCTTCCCCTTCTTTTCTCAAACCTCGAACAACGTTCAAAGTATGTATATGTATACGTACGACCCGAGAGCCTCGCAACGGAGCTCGCGTCACCTCATTCTCTCAAGGGGAATATACTTTGTCACTTTTTACTTCTAGTTTCGCCGTCAAGCTTCATGACTTCGTCGCGAAGTGTCACGTGGAAGCCCGGTTTTTCTGACTTTACAAATTCAATCTTTCACCCGAGAGTACCAAAGGAGAGACTCTCCCCGAGTCTCTTCGCCACCGTTTCATCCTCGGCTACTCCTCCGTTCATTAAGAGAATCGAACAAAACTCGAGAGGAGAACAGTCGAACCGAGGCTGCGGTCGTTCCTTTCTCTTCGTCGAGTTGGACGCCGTTCAGTTTTTGCTAGAAACGTATTTACGCGCGTATTTACAAGGGTCGTTCGACACATCGACGATGGAACGAAATTTTCGAGAACCTCGTGCGCGTCGATTCAACACGCGCGTGGGAACTATTACCTCGTCTTCGACCGTTCTCCTCTCCAAGTTCGATTTCATACATGCCGCGATACAATCGTAATTGTTCAATCGCGTGGAACACGGTGCAGTTGCCACTTGGAGTTTCTGTCCTCGATTCACACACACGCGCACACCATTTATTGTCGATTCCTGCTTAACGCGTTTTATCCTCTTCGCCTAGGAAGGAGAGAAGAGCGGTTTTCGTTGAATCAAACGTCGTCTCTAATTCCACCGAGTGCAGCGAAATGATGACGTATGCCTCGTTCATACGGGATTTCGTGAGAATGAAAATTTGAGAAACGGGTGAAGAAGATGAACCGAAGGGGAAAGAATTTCGCTCCGTGATCGTGGACGAAAAGATCGAACGTGTAAAATACACGTCTTTCGTATCGATTTTATTGTCGATTTCTGTTTTATCCTCTTCGTTCTAGCGAATGTCAAGAACGACGCTGCAATCGTATGAGATCTCGCGGGAATTTGAGAAACGAATAAAGAGGAATATAACGATTATAAGTCAAATAATCAAACGAATTCGTTGACAATGTTGCAACATACAAAATGATGAATTGCCCAAACCGAGACAACTTTCTTCAACACGCTCATCGTTTATTGTCGATTTAATACATTTTATTTAAGAAAAGAAAAAGAGAAATTGGAGGAAGGTATTAGTTTGTAACAATTGGTGCGAAAATCGGTCAAGTCTAGTTATTAGTGAAATTGTACTTATGTACCTGTTGAAGTTTTAAGGCAATCACATCCATGTTTTTAATATAGTTCGACCATGTTAAATAAATATATACGACAATATTACAAATTAACAAAAAATGCCTACGATTTATAAAAGAAAAAAAGTGATGGAAAGTTTAAATAGAATGACAATCTTTTAAAAAACGCGAAGAGAATTATTTCAGAATCTTGGAATGATTTTCACTATATTTAGACGCCGGAAGTGTGAAGATATTTACGATTTGGAAAATTAATGAAGAAAGACACACGAATTTTTTCATTCGTTATGTCTCGTTATGTTTTTTTATTAAAAATGAAAGTAAATAATTTGTAAATAAAATGTCGCAAAATATGATTTATTTGTACCCTAAACAACGTGGACGTTATCTAAATTTGGTCAAAATAACAAAATTGTACAATGTCTTTTCAAAAAGTTGTTTAAACTTACCCCTATCACTAGATCCGAAAATATCAGTGTGATTGTTTAAACAAGCTGTACATAATTCAGTCTTTCAAATTTTGCTACAACTATTTGGACTTGCGCGATTTTCGTACCAAGCTCTGCCAATTCCACCGAATATGAAAAAAAAAGGATTCCGAGAATCACAGAAACGAATTCAAGAAACGAATAGAAAAGTATATAAAACGATCACGGGCGAAATAATCAAACGAACACAACGTCGACACAACGTTGCAACGTATAAAATGCTGTTTCGTACAAACCCATTCCTTCCCGGAATATGTTTTCCGTCGTTGAAGCTGATTGATCAGCTTCGATACGGCGCTTCGCGGCGCCCCTTTCCGCAACTCGGCAAAGTAACATCGCATTATCTTTCCACTCTCCCCAGTGTCTTCCTTTCCTTTCTTCTCTTTCGCCAGGTTTCCATCGTACGTTCTCGCGCGAGTTCCTCCATCCATCTTCATTTCGGCCGACCGGAAGAGGGGTTGTTCGGGAACCTTTTATCTTTTCTCGCGTTTACTCGGCCTAATGCCACTGACGTCTGGAGAGAATTCGATCGGCGCCGGTAGGGTCGGACGATTTCGATTCCACGGCGTGGTGGTGGTCCTAGCATGGTCGCTGGACTCCGAATCCATTTTGAAACGCGTTGACATTCTCGTCGGCGGATTTCGATCCACTCTTACTCGCAGCGATGATGAATTCGTGGCAACGACTATTGATATGATTGGTTGTCGTTGAGAGAAAATTAGTCGCGTGCAATTTTCCCCTATACGCTTAGTTTTTGAGTTGTATTTCGTAGACTTCGACTATGTTTGATCTTTAACTAGGCAAATAAGTTTACATGGAATTTTATAATATACAATTAGTGATATTACTCGAGAATTAATACGGTCATAATACGGAAGTATGTAGTTACGAAAATTCTGCGCAACTGGTGTAACTTTTCTTGTAAAATCAATCAAGTTAGTAAAATATGTCATTTTCTGTACTATTGCTAGAATTCGGATTTACAGAGAATCATAAAATGTAGAGTTGAACAGAATGCACATAATTTGGCAATATATATAAAATACTCAAGGTATAATGTTTTTAATAACATCTTGTACGTAGAACAATTTTTCACTACAACGTCTGATTATTTTCTCAAAAATACAAATTTACATAAAAATTTACAGTTTAATTATTAATAGTATATAATTCCATGTAAATTGTAATTTCTTTTTTTTTTTTATTATCGATTCAAATCCTTAAACCAGTCCGAGAGTTAACACATTCGAAATCATTTAATAATATCTACTCGATAGTCAAAGATGTAACGCAAATGTTAGTTTTTTAATTAGCAATAGAAAAAAGTTATTCTATGAAGTTAACTGTAAAATAGACTCCATCGTATGACAATTGATTTTAACATCGCCTAAAAGTATAAATAAATAAACAAATATGCTACAAACAATATAAAAATCACGACGCATACGATAGATAGATAGAAACATCAATGAATCACAGATATTAAAATGCTTACTTCAACGCGAGTTTAATTGCCATTGATTCTACTGTAAGTGGTAAAAGTCAGTCATCGACTATTTTGAGAACAAATTCAAAATCGTCCAGTCTCGAACGTGTTAACACGTAGTTCGGTTTGGCGGCCGGATACAAAGTTTGAAGGCGGTTTTCAAGTAGAGACTCGCGTCTCCTCGATACGTTACTCGAAACTGCCGTCATTTGTTCGCAATTTGTCCCGGGGAAAATTCTCGCGGGCGGTCGCACGCGTCCTTTGGAGGCGGTGAATCACGTAGCGCGGTAAGAAATATGCGAGAAGACAGCGTCGAAGATCATTGGGCTCGGAGTCGCGCGACGGGAACAGGGATAGGGGAAAGTTGTGCCGACGTTCGAAGACGAAAGGAGACTACTTCTGAAACATCTCTCTAGCCCAGGTGGAGAACTCGAGAGCGGCAAGTTTTCACCCAACTCTTTCCCGGCCCCAGCGATTCTTCTATTTTTCTTCCCGTTCTGTCCCTTGTCCTCCGTTTCTTCCCGGAACAGGGAAGAAAAAAGAAAGACAGATGGAACAAATATTGCCCGACCATCGAGAAAACATTTACAAAACAATTTCGAATACGGGCGAATACGGGGGTGTTTCGCGATTGGAAAGTTTTCCCGGGCCGAGTCCTGAGGCTCCGGTTGCACGTTTCTACCCATCGCTAACTTGTCGTCTGTCGTCCCGTTGCTCGCAACGACGACACGCTGGATTGTCTTTTTATGCAGCTTCGTACGCAATCTCGTTGAATCGTTTTCTAGCGTTAGAATTTCGCAAACGACGTGTTCCATCGATAATAAATTAACGTGTCGCGACGAACGAGCCGAAGCTTTCGGCAAGAGACTTGTTTCCTCTTTTCATGTTCTTAGGTCGTTGAACGATACACGGTGGTCGGTTAAAAGTCTTAGACGCAGCTCTCGGGAAGCCTGTTGGCCATCAGTCGTCTCTTGATCGCCTCGCCGTCCAAGCACTCGCCAGCGACGACGACGCCTTGCCCGGCACCGACGACGACACCCTGGCTGTTGCCACCGAGCGCCATACCGCCGCCCTGACTTCCGCTGACCACGACGCTCTGTCCGCCGCCCATCATCACTCCCGTCATGGGCATGCTCTGTAAACTCGGTATCGCGCTTCTCGATGGTAACCTCAGCTCCGTCGGTCTTCCGGTGAATTTGTGGCAGAGCTCGTCTATGCTTGGCGTAGGTCCGGGCGTGACCCAATGTCCCGGGGGATATCCACCTGGATAACTCGGCGGGCTCACTTCCACCAGGTTTCCCTCTGCAACATCGAATCGGAGAGAATTTTTTGGGGGATTCGTTGTGAACCGAGGAGGTGGCTGGTGTGGTAGTTAATCGTCCACGTGGACGTTTTTTTTCCCCCCCCGGTTCTCTCAAGGGTGAAAGATTCTGTTACCCGTTGATAGATACAGCGTTATAGGATTGTAATTACTATTCTTTCGCTCGGTCCATTGAATTAGCATCATTCAGAAGTTTCGATGTTTCACGCGAGCTTAATAAAATCGAGCAGTTTGAATTCAATTACAAATTCTATTCACTTTGTTAATGATTTACGGTTTTTGTTATGTTTTATTATTTATTACGAGCGAGTAGTAATTTATTATGCAAGCGATGAAATTGCCGCGGGTGACGATGGCATCGAGTGGATGATCAATAACGATTACGTCAAAGTGGAGGATATCAATTACAAAACGTAGGCGATAGAGAAAATACTACGTATATGTTTGAATCTTTAAAAGTGTGTTATTGGTCCTGCACTATGAAAAGAAAAAGCATACATGATAAAGCATGTTGCACGTACAAACTATTAACGTGTACCAGTGCAATACTGCGCGTTAATAGTTAAGCGAACTTGTTATTTAATCGCGGTCAGATATATCAATTTTATTAAGAATATGTAAGATACTGGAAATTTAAAATGATCCTAATTCAATGCCTAAGGGTTGTATAATTATTCTCCACGAAATACTATTCATACACTGGATTCATTGGATGTATAGCACCATTTACAGAAATAGGAAGCATGCAATCTTTAATATATCAATGTTTCGTCCACGAAGCAATTCTTGTAAGTGGATTTTCATGCATTTAGATGAAATTCCAAAGTGCAAAACGTACATGAAACACAATGTACTAAAATATCCAAGGTATATATAATACATTATACACGAAATAATTTTCTATCTGGATTCTATTCTTTCAATTGTTTCATAAAAATTCGTAGTCTACAAGTGTAGGAAGTTAATTGTCGAAGACTGGTCGAGTATAAAATTACAGGTTCAGCTGTAGAGGATTATCGTGTCATAGCGAAAGAGTTCGAATAAAAGCTGCTCTACGTTGGCAGGTCATTTGGTTTCGTTCTTTAGTAACAAGGCTGCTCCGGTCGCGTTAAACGACTTTCTTCTTACCCCCTGCGCATTTTTTATAATCTCCCGTTACCAAGTTAATGTGTCTTAATGGAGTCGCGGGGCAGGAGTTTTCCCAGCAGCAGGAATATTTTAACCAAGTTCTTATGTATTTAAAATCATGGCTAAAAAAGTCGACGATCCAACCCGATGGTGAAAGAAAGAGAGTAATCGATTGACGTTTGTTCTACTAGTGCATAGAGTGACTTGTCCAGTGAATGTACATTACTAATGTAAAATTAACATTTGTCACGCTTCCTTCACGAGTTGAAATTCATATAGTAGATCCATAAGTTTCTCACAAAAGTCTTCTGCTTCTTACTTATAATTTACGTTTCTTCTGTTTAACAGTTGTTCTGAAGATGCGAGTTCAAACTAAGTTTTATTACCTAACATCTACGACTTGTTTAATGGTCTTATTATTTTATTTAAATGTTTGTTCAATATGAATATGAATAATATATTTGTCGATTTTGTTAGATGTTTGGTGCATTGGATGGGGAATACCAATAGATGAACAATCTATTCCAATTAGAGAAATTCAGAGTCATCGAGTTGAATGATGACAATCACGCTATTGTAGAATGTAAATGTTTGTGGCATTCAGATTTATGAATATACTACTGTCCTCTGGCCATTGAATTCAGTTTTCAACAACTCGCATGTTTTTAACAAAATTGGGAAAGGATACGAACGTAATTTAATAATATATTTGATTAATGTAAATTAAGTACACATAGTATCGCAAATATACACATTAATAATTTGTCTTTCGTTGTTTTGGGAAATTCATTACGGCATATCATTTCCCGTATATATTTCGCATTATAACGTTTCTCTTCTAAAAAATCTTCCTTTTTGTAATGTACCAGATAAATAACACACTTTTAAAGATCTAAATGGAATCTCATCTGTACCTAATACTTGACGCGCAATAATTTTATCGCTTTCGTGACAGACAATTATTTACTAATGTGCGTTGATACTTTAATGGTTGATGAAACCTAAAAAAAAAAGAAATTAAATTTCGTTTAAATCCTTTAAATTTTTACTAAAAAATATGCGAAACATTGAAAATTTCAAGCCCCGATTTCCAGTCGCCAGCGATCACTGTAATTTTAACTGTTCACTGGACAGATCAGCCTACCCTAATCGCGGTGGTGGACGAGGAATTTTGAAAAACGGGCGGAAACACCGATCGAGCCCGAGTCGATCACAATCGCGCGGGGCTTTATCGGCACCGGCGAGTGGAAAATGTTTTTCGGAAAATATCTGGCGCATTGAATCGGGTCTCTCTTTTGTTTGGCGGATGAAATACCGGGCCGGCGTGGCCCGGCAGTCGTGTAAGCCGCGGTAATTGAATAAAATCTATACACGCTGCTATTACAAATCGCGGCCGGCGCTCGGTAACCGGCGCGCAATTAGATTAACAGCGCGCGTTGCGAGAACGTTTCCTGGCCATTATTTGGAAAATCCAGGCCGTGGAGGATCGATCGTTGGCGCGCGACCGCGCGCCGATCGGCTCGTTCATCATCATCGTTGTTGTTCCCAGGTACGCCACGATAGAGCCTGATGCTGCTTTCGAAGCAACTTTCCAAGTCGTATGTTTCCCATCTCCAGAAAACTTACCGAATTTATTCGGGATAACGTCCGGATCGGTCTCGGTCACGGTTTGTTGAGGATTCTGCAGCGGGTATTGCTGCGGCGGTAGCTCGCTCAGTTCCGCCGGTTTCTCGTGTCGCGGCTTCGACACTCGTTCGCGGCGTACGCGCACCACCACCACGAGAATGATCAGCACCAGCGTGACCAAAGTGCCGACCACCACACCGATGAGGGGCGACAGCACGATCCCGGCGTCTTGCCCTTGAACAGAGACGTAAATCGAAGATTAGAGTCAGCAACGGGACATTTGACATTTGAGACAGACTTTTTTGAATCGCTTCGAATTTGTGTAAAAGGCAGGGACACGGGACAATCCTTCATTTCTCGATGAAAGTCACATACGATGCGTTTCTTAGTTTTGACTTTTACGACTGTGATCTCATCTTAATTATCGGTCAAGTAGTTCCTTCGAGATATTTACTCATCTGCTCGTGAATATTAATCGTAAGCGTGTAAAGATATTATCATTCAATTAATTTCGATAAATAAATAAGTGAAAACGCGCTACTGTGTTTAAAATTCTTTCTGAAATTTCGATCATCGCAGCTCCAAGACGCTTTCGAGACTTTTGAAATTTTCAACGCTTCCAAGACGCTTTCGAGACTTTTGAAATTTTCAATGCTTCCAAGACGCAGTCGAGACCTTTAAGAGTTTTATTATAAATTTCGAATCACGTTCGAAGCGACTCGAACTTGTCACCGACAACGTGCAACGCGGACTCGAAGTGATTCAAATCGTCGTCGCTAGTTAGCGAAATCGTTGGCGTCGAGACAGAACACGGGAGACCGGCTCGGTTTCGGATGGAATATACGCTGTGGTGCGCCGTTTAAACGACCCGCGCGTAATTAACGAATTCCGCGCGTTCGCGCCGCTTCAGTCTCGGGCTCGATGAAATTTACGAGGAACTGGGGATTGACAAATGAACAACGGTAATTTATTTAAAATTATCGCGGTCATAATTAAACGATGCATAGACCTTGTAATAATAGCACGATCGTTGTTCGACCAGCGAATGAATCGTAATGTATCTATACATTAATAAACAGGTAACCACGACACGTTGGAAACTGCGCCGCGATAATAATCATTATGAAACGAGCTTTTCGAAAAACAATCGACCTGCGTAATTCGACTGCGTCGTGTTTCGTTAATTTTCTTCTCACGGTGAACAGACGGGAACAGAACTGGTCCCCTGAGTAATGCGGTTTTCATCACATTATTCATTCATTTATTTTTTTTCATTTACTTTTGGTGCGTACAACGTACAAAGAAGTTGAGAAACTGTTGGTGATGTGAGTTTGCTTTGTGGTTGCTTTTCTAAATTATTCACTAACTGTTCACTTATTATTAATAGTTACTTTATTCGGAGAAGTTGAAGTCCGACTAATTTAATGCGCTCAAGATCAGATTATACGATAGTTCTTTGCGCGAACGCGAAAATGTTTTCATGAAATTTTCAATGGAAAATCTCTCTCTCAAAAAATTTACGGATTAACTTGACGGACGACGATGAACACGACGAAAAATTTATACAGAAAAGAGAAGGATTGAAAGGCAGTTGTAGTAAGCGAGCGATGAATGTTTTTACGTAGTATCGTTCGTTACGATTTTTCTTAATTGAACCAGTTACCGAACTGTTGTCTCTAGGGAAACTTCAATTAGAAAGGCACTTTGCCCAGAACCATACCTCGGATAACAAGTTCCGTGTGACTACCTAATTAAAAGAAGTGTCCAATTAAGAGGCTGACTTTGTCCTCTCCCTTTTTCTTTGCCGTTTTGACTATCCTCTGGCCAAGAATATTTGTCACTCATTCACGGACCAAGTCCTTTTTCCTTTCGCGTTTCGATCGGAACCGGAGTCCATCGTGGAACTAATGGACGAAGTGAAACGTGAATTATACTCATTGAGATACAATTGCACATCAATGTGAAATGCAGTTACAAAATTTTATTTTATTGACACTGATGTAGTTTATTAACAAACGATTACAAAAATACGGAATGATTTATTTACGACAATTGTACTGTTGGATGCAAGGAGGGTTACATTCGAGCGTAAAATATTTCTTATATATACACCAGCGAAGTTTGTTATATTAAAAAACTTTTTTTTAATAGTTTCTGAGTTACGTATTAGTATAATACGTATTAATTAATAAATTGGAGCTTGAAACACAGGAGCTTGGTCACATCAAACACAGTTAATATCATTAGTTGCCAGATGTGAATTTGAAGCAGTAATAATTAACAAATAATACCTCCGATAAATAAATCAAACCTGCTGTTACTTGAGGAAAGTTCAACTGTATCCGGCAATGACACAGCGCGGCAAAGACTTGTTTCACAGACTCTTCCTGACTGTTTGTCATTCTCCATTCTTTTTTTCTTGTCGCGGTAAACCCGTGGCCGCACATAGGTCCGAGGAAACAGCTTCCGCAAACACCTTTTCCGTGGATTTCTGTTGACCGTGGACCTCGATTCAAATGTTTGCTCGCGAAAAATTAGAGGGAAAACCTCGTTTACCCTCTAGAAAGTAGCTGGTGTATCGTGTGGGACGAAGCCACAACAGTTTCATCTTAAACGTTGCTTACGTGGGTCACGTAAAGTTCCATCTGTGGCAATAGGAAGCAAGATCGATATTCGAGATCGAGACTCGAGACTTATATTCCGGCGGGAGGGTGTGTAGGTTCGCTGGCCGGAATAAAAGGGAACGAGAAATCTTGCAGGTTAATTCTTGGTTCGCGTTCCGGGCTCGCCCGGCTTCTCGCACGTGACGTTTTAGTTGATAGTGGCCGAGCGTGGGAGCCGGCCTGCTGTTTTCGTCGGATAATTAACAAAACTGTATTCTTCCAGCGCGCGCGGCTCGGCCAGCTGTGCTCCACTGCACGGCAGTTTAAGTGGGACAGAGCCGGCACGCTCGTTAGCCTCCCCGTGACGAACGTTTTTAATTCTTAACTCGGCAGAAGTAGCTAGCTACACTGCCGCTCGAAAGTACGCGCCGGACACTTGCCATTTTTGCAGGATCTACGGCGAAGGTACAGGGTGTTTCGGACAAATGGGATCGAGTAAATATCCGCTAACCCCGGGATATTTGTACAAATGACATTGACCCTCTATTGCATGAGTTTTTATGACGAGTTGAAAAAAAAATATATATGGCTGTTAGTCTACTTGAAAGTAAATAATAAAATTTTATTAGAAAATGTTATTTGTTGCATTTTATGACTGTTCCTGTATGGGAACTTTATACATGTGCACGTACAAAATCAGTCAAATGAAAAAAAA